TGAACACAGGCATGCAACAGTGGGAGAGTTAGAGTAAAAGCCTGGCTGGGTCGTACGTGTGAAGATAGATTGCAGACTTATTAAATTTGATACAGAACAATTTTGTTAGAGAAATATGTTGAAAAATGATAGCAGCTGCCTTCACCAAGGCTAACTCCTGTCTGTCAGCCATTGTTCAATTTGTTTCTCCATTTAATTTTGGGAATTGAATTGACTTATATTTCAGTTTAATTAGCAGTCCCTTGACAGGACCAGCTGTGATGAACCAGTGGATGACGTGATTTGTTTTTTTTTTTTTTCCTTTTTGTTACATGACAACCTACAGCAGGGGAAGAGGGAACTGAGTCAGGTTCTTTGACTCACAGTAAATGACACTTAAAGAAGGGGGTGGGGTGAGGTCAGGGTGGGTTTAAAACAGTGTCAGGTTGTCTGAGTTTTCACTGTGAAGGTGAAATAAATTCAAGGCTTGTCCAGTTCAGGACCAGAAACCAGGAGAGTACACAGAGCTTTGGCAGAGATGTAGTAGTAGATTCATCACACGCTCTCCTTGTCTTGTAAGGATTTTCGGATGTTTATGGATTCTCCAGGTTCCTCTGTTCACTTAGTTGCCATCCTTGAGCTGACATGACAGAGACTGGAGGTCTTAGAATACCAGCCAGGAGCTACAGCCGCTTCTCCTGTGGAAACTTTAAACTGGTAAGAACTGCTTTTCTCTCATGACAGAGCTGTAAGACTTATTTTTAAATATAGAAATATAACACCAAATATGAAGTGATCTTAAAAAAGTTAAAGGTAAAGAAATGTGTGTCTAACACAGACACAACCCAGAGGGGCTTGGTAGTTATGAGAGAAATGGACTGAAGAGGAAAGGTCGTCTGGAAATAGAAACGTCACCCGGGGTAGAGTCAGATCTCCAGGAGTTGCCAGAATTATTTTAGAGTCTCCTTGACCGAGCCAGGTAACAGGCCCAGGACATTGAACCAGTCACAGTCACTTTTGTTTAGATTTGGATTCTTCCCATAATCCTCTATAACCTTGCCAATCATTGTTAATGGAAGAGACCTTCATTTTCCTCCTGCACTTGATGTCAGAGAGTGATTTCCCTGAAATCAGAGACAAAAGTGTTGTTATCAGAACATGTCTTTTTGTAGATTCAGCGCTGAGTTCAGATGACTTGAATTGTGACCGTAGCTGCTTCAGGCCTGGCTCTTAGAGGTTCTCGTGAGAGATAACACTTTGTGGCAACTTCGGTTCTGCTGCATGTGCTCATGTAGGTAGATTAGTTCATAATGGGTTGCCTTTCAGGTTTCCTACCCAACCCTGAACTAATAGTCCAAAAGCTATCGACATAATTGTGTTTTGGAACACCTCACACCTCCAGGTCACTCCAGACCTGTGCTGTAGGGGAGACCTGAGTTGTTACTGACGGTGGAAACCATGGTGTTGGTTTGTGTTTCTCATGCTCAAACTACAATATTAATGGCCCTTGACAGCATAATGTACAAACCTTAAAGTCTTCAAGTCATTAAAGAGTATAAATATATCATAAGTTAAAATAAGAGGGCACTGTTTCCTCTTTCTATTTAGCCTTGGGAAAATGACTCATTTACTCTAACTCTAATGGAACACATGCTATCACGGTCTACAATGCGTTCTGTGATATAGGTGTGAGGATGTAAGGTGGTAAACTTTTGGTCTTTAACTTCAGTCTTTGTTTATAACCTGATGTACTGTATCTTCTAGTGCAGATTCCAATCTTAATGATAAGTATGTTGTCTGACTGATGCACTGTTTAGGAGCAGAGGACATCTGATGGTTTGGTTCTTTTATGTGGACAATCAAAGGATACCTACTGTTCAAGCAGCAGAGAAAGGAAAAGCCGCACATTCCTGTCATCTGAGACAGCGATAACCCTGGAGCAGATAACACACACGCGCTGCATATCCGTAACTTTTCACATTGAATGCAGATTTTGTACTAATGAGCACAGACAGAGCTCAACATGCACCACATTAGTATTGAACAAAGTATTTTTTTTTGTGGATGCAAATGAGAATGAATGTTGAGCTTTTACATCTTGGCGACATCAGAGCGGCGTTCACTGGTTGTGACCTAACACATCTTTGTCAGTGCAAACACCAGCAGAAAGGCCAGAGCAAACTCATAAGTAGTTGTCGATCCAGCTGTGTGTCAGACACATAAAAACACAAACACACGCTCACTCAGGCTACGGTGAAGTACAAAGGCACATCTGCTCAACTTTCACTACCGTATAATCAGCCTCCCTCATGATATGTCGTGACATTTGCAGCTGAGGCACTAGGCCAAACAGAGAGCAGGAAACTCACATGAAACCAAAACAGGACGTGTTTGTCAGTTCAAATAATTGTGAATATGTTGTATTAAAACCAGAGAGAACTTCTTCTTTACCCAGTTTATGATCACAAAGTTAACTCATTCCTGAAAGCAGGATATCATTAGCCTGGACAAGCCACTGATGACACTCTCCATAAGGCCGTGACTGTGTTAATGACTCTGTGTCACGTTGCTTTCTTTAGTGATGGGAATGTCCCTGACAACACAACCAACTTACAGCTCCTTAAAAAAGCCCTCTGTTTCCAATGGAAAAAAGGGAAAATCCCCTCTTGAAAAGTCCATCGGTTTAAAAACATGGACATCTTGGATGTTTTTAAGTTTATATTATTGTAAAATAATACACAAAATAAATGTCAGTATATGTGTGAAAATGTCTGAAACATTTGTGGCAACGTCATGTTGCCACAAATTGTTTCAGATTATCCCTGAGTGAATTTCAGTTGCCTCCGTTCTCTGTGTCGTTTGTGCCTAGAAAAATGTTCCTTCTCTTTTTAACATCTTACATAACTGTACTGGAAACATTATAGCTTTTCAATGTCGTTCTTCTTCGTAATTAACCCAACGACAGATTTGAGAAATATCTACAGCCTGCAAGAGACCTGCGGTGACATGCCCACTTGTGCTTGTCTTTCCTTTCCTCTCATCATACACTCCTGCTTCCTGCTGCCTGCCCTGAGGCTGACTGAAGCCCCCGTCTCCACAGCTCTGTCACTGACAGCCCACCAGTTCACCTCATTTTAAATTACAGTTTCAACCCACAGTTTACCAGCTCTGAAAATACATGAAGGCAGAATACACACGCACACACAGCAACACACCAAAGCTGCTCATCTCTCGTGCACTTCCTTTCCTCTATGACCAGCTGAGGTTGAGAGCTGAAGGCAGAGAATCTGATCCTGCTGCTTAAAGGATTTGATTTAGCTCTGTGTGTCACTCAGGACTCAATTAATGACTGTGTCTGTGTTCAGCTAAATGGCCTGTGTGTTTGTGCGTGTGAGTAAAGCCCTTTGTGTTTAGCGTGTGGTCATGTACTCATGAACTTTATGTACTTAAGGTGGTGTATGAAGACGTAGCTGTGCCTTTGAAGCGCTCACACCTGTTGGGAGCAGTGATTCACCTGATGAGTGGAGCGGTGGAGATGCTGTCTCAGCAGAAATGACTGAGCCTGACTTACACACAGTTATGGGAGAGAGAGAAAGAGAGAGAGAGATATCATATTTGGTTATACTGGAGTAAAGAGAGAGTCTGCATGAACACAGAAGCCAGAATCCTAGAAGAGATCTGGTTATGTGTCAAATTACTATTATCTGCTGTGAATCAGATCAATAAAATGTTGTTGCTGTTGAATTTCAAATTGAAAACATTTGAGTGCATTCTTCTTAATAGACCAATCACATATGCACACAACTGTCTTTTTATTTTTATCATTTAACTTCTATTAATCAGATCATGTGCAGTGGTCAGCAGCTGTATTTGGCAGAAACTGGAGGAATTATTCCAACCTGCAGTTGTGTTTCTTTAGAGTTGAGAAGCTAAGGTGTGATACTGAGTTGGACAGTGATACAACATAAATGATGTCCTGTTTTCTATTTTTTTAAAGCAAAATAATTTTACATTTTACGGCATAAACTACACTTGTTGTTCATTTCACAGCTACATTAATGCCAGCACCTGATTGGTAAAACCCAAACTATTTCACCTTCTGCATCTTTACAGTATGTCTTTAAATAGTAAAAGCCACAAAGTTCACAGCCTTTCTTTTAATTTTCCCAGTGATTAAGTTTGGTCGGACTCATCCTTTGTCCTGCAGAGGCCACATTTCTCATTCTTACCGCAGGAAAGCAGCACTGAGACAATTACTTAAACAAACTGTTTGTCCTCAGCCTGTCATCTCTGTCATCATGTGGTGACAACGTCTTCATACAGCATGGCTGAAACAGGACTACGACACAGGCAGCAGTGTCTTTATTTAGCCTGACTACACACTCTCTGCCTGAAACTTTTGAGGAGAAGTTAAACAAATTAAGTTCGATACAAAGCCACAAGTCAGCCAGAAAACTCACAGGGATTGTCAGAGGAAAAATAATGTTTTACTTTTCTTTAAACCATGTTTTCTCTTTTTTTTTAAAAAAAAAGAAAAGAAACTCTTTTGATTGGAGCGAGGGGTAAAAAAAGGGACTTTGGCTACTAATTATGAGGGAAACTATTCAGATTATTCAGATGCTTGCTCTGCCCCCTCTTCTCTCCCTCCTCCCCCAGGCACTGAAGGGTCTTTTCTGTCCCCTGAGAGTGATGTCAGCATGGTCCATTGAAAACAGCCGCCATGCGCTGTGAGATGAATGCCCCGGCTGAACACAATGGCCCCAATTTGAATACCATGCGGATGTATTCCAGATCGGAGCCCCAACAAAAGAAAGAGGGCTACTCTGCTCTCTTTCACCCATGTTGTTATTTTATTAGAGTCGTAAATTTGCTCTAACCATTCATACCTTTTGTAGTTTTGGAGTGTTTATGGAGTTTAGAACACGTGGGTGACCTGACGGGGGCTGCCCCTCGTGTCGGACTGTATTTTCTGCCTTGGTTGGTCTCATAAGTGAACGCCGCGGTTGTGTTTGTCTTCGCAGATCTACACGGACTGGGCCAACCATTACCTCGCCAAGTCGGGACACAAGCGTCTGATCAAGGATCTGCAAACGGACGTCACCGATGGGGTGCTGCTGGCTGAGATTATACAAGTCGTTGGTAAGAAAGTGTCCCCATCAGTCATTCATTCTCAAAGTTATTTTTAATCCATAAATGATCTGATGGTTAAAGATTTATCAGACATGGTGAGGAGAGGAGAAGACACGAAAAAGGGATGGAAAAATCAGAACAGTCCTTTTTTAAATTGCATTTTAATGGTCTAATTTACATTTCCACTGTTAATCAATCAATAAATAACTGTTACACATTCAATCAATAACTTTTAAATTTATGATTTTCTATGGTGCCTGCCAGAAGGTATGAAAGATTCCAACTGATCAAGTATTCAGTGTTGCTCCTCAGAATTGTTGCCCCTCTCTCCCCCCTTCCGACCCTGACCCTTCATCTGACTCATCATCAGTCCTGTCATTTTGTCTGGAGCTCTGCAGCCTGTCATTTCACCTTGTGTGAGCCTGAAGCAGCAGCACACCAGCTGGGTGGTGACTCAGCATGTCACTGAGCCTCCGTGCTCTCACTCTGACACAGGGAATCTCACTGTTCTCCGGCTGCAGCTTTGGCATAAAACTTTCATCCCACAAAGATCTGACTCAGAGTTGTTTATCTCTCTCTGAGTTGGTCATGTGATGTTGACCTGACTTGTTTGTCTCATTTGGTGAATAGCTGCTAATTCAGGGTCAGATTTATTTACTACTATTGATGTATGAATGGTGGGAGTTGCTGACACAGGGACAAACCTTCTTTTATTATTACACTGACCAACTCACTGATGTTTTCCATCACTGTTGTATTTTTGACAGATTTTACTGTTTAAAAGACAATTACCTGATGTTTCTTATCATGATATGTAAAACTTGTATAATATGTGTCAGATGTGGACTCGGAGTGGACCCCTACATTTCTACCAGCTCACACACTAGTGTTCAGTGCAGGATAAGATCAGTCTGATGATGTTCTGATGAACCATCAATGTAATTCTTGATGATATCTACTAGATCTCTAGCATATTTACAGGATCTATAATCTTAGCACCAAGAATGTGATTTTTATTTTTGTCAGTCACATGTTAAAACACTCAGTGTTTATTTGTGTCTTACATCAATTTTGGAATTAATTAATGTTCTCCAAATAACCTTTTTACCAACTTTTCTGACATAAATAAATAACATAAAGTTCTTATTGTTTTAAAGAACCAGCAGCAGTTTACCCTCTTACCTGACCCGACCTCCTCTCTGCCCAGGAAACTACCAGCTGACAAAAACCTCACTGATACAAAAATACAAATACAAATAAACAAACATTGTGATTTATTCCTGCAAACCTCCACCAACCATGTGTACGTGTTTGTTTAGGATCTTAACACTCCAGCCGTAGGTTTCAGCTCAGCAGCTCAACAGTCTGACTGCTGGTTAGTGAGTTGACAATTTACGTCCTGTTATTTTTTCTTCAAATTGTTTTTATTTTGGGGACGTTCATTTGCTTTGCATGTGTGTATCTCCTAATTACAGAGTAGCCGTCTCTGGTGGGTGTCACTGACCACAGTGTGCATTTTCTTCAGGAAGCTCACAAACCAAACCCCACTGTAGTAAAATTAAATCATTCATCATCTTTTTATGTTTACGCATTTGTTAAGAATTATTGAATTATATTTTCAAAAAAGTATGTTACCATTTGAATTACCCAGTAACTTGACAGGGTCATCTTATTAGCCAGTACAGAAACAACTTAGATATAATCCAATATAATCCCAGTTTCTAACTGTAGCCAAAGCTGGGGATAAATCATTTTCTTTCCAACGTCAGTTATTTTCCTCTCCACACTCTCAATCAGAGTGTCTGTGATATAACACACCACCCTGTGATGGCGCTGTGTGATGTGCACCTCCATGCCTACTGATGCAGCAGACTGTGTTTTTGGGCACTGCTCTCAGCACTGAGTTAATGGCTGTGTCTCAGCTGCTGTGGGATGGGTTTCTAATGGGCAGGAGGAATCCCAGAATCCACACACACACACACACACACACACACACACACACACACACAGAAGCCCCCGTTGCAAAAAAGCAGCGTGACACTCCCGTCCCAGCCAGGCCCTCAGTGGCCCTGTTCCCATTTGCTGTTACTGGATACTGTTTCATGTCTCAGTGGGAGGAGAGGAGGGGTGGGTGAGAGTCACCGGCATGAACACCTCTGCTCTTCTCACTCAGCTCCAAACTGTCTAGGACACACATTCACATAGTCATACACTGGGATTTCACTGGGAATAAAAGACAGGATTAACTTCACCAAACACAACTGACTGGACCTTCGTTCTGGTTTTTGACCTCTCTCTCCCTCTTTCTCTCTCCCTCTCTCTCTGCCTCCTCAGCCAATGAGAAGATCGATGATATCAATGGCTGCCCCAAGAGCCGTTCTCAGATGGTAAGTGACGACGTCTGTTTGTTTTGGCAGAATGGTGTGACGTTTACCTGACTGTGTTTGTGTGAAGTAACACACTCCCTGGTGTGTGTGATCTCACGGAGTCGTGAGAGCACTGGCTCACTGCTGTGGTTCAAAAGTCACTGGTGAACTGTTGTAGATGGGAAAGGGTGAGTCCATTTATTTTTACTTTTGTGGTATTGCGGGCTGCCGTTTAGCAGACCTCTGGCTCAGACTTCTGGCAGTTGGCACTCAGTTGAAAGCACCACAGGCTCTGGTCTAAGGGCAAGTATTGCTTCATCTTACTGCACGTGCAGAGTGGATGACATTTTTTTTTCTCAACTTCTGAATCGTCTGCATAGCAGGGAGAGAGACAAGCATTGGTGAAGTGAGGAGAAAATTCAGGATTTGTTACTGTAAGCAGTGACATTTAGTCGGTGTGTAAGTGGGATTTTATTCCTGCACGCTGCTGGTGGGATTTCAGTACTTTCACAGTTTTGTGTTCTTCTGTGAGAAGCGAGGCGACTGGCCCGAGACAGAGCTGCCCTCCACTGAATGTGAAAGGTCATAAATTGGGCCAATGTGCCAGCTGAGGGGGTTATTTTTGGCCACCAGCCAGCACACCGAAACCACCAAGAGCCCCAGAGACAGAGAGAGGGAGAGAGGGAGATATGTGCATCCCTTTAACAGCTGAGCCGTCCAAAGCACAGCTGATCTCTGGAACCTTCATCCTCATAACAAACACAGACACATTGTTATGTTCACAATGTCAAATTCCAATCCCTCATATTTTGTTTTATTTTTATCATGCTACAGGAAAATCTGAAGACTTTATCAACAAATTTCTCAGTTTTTGTCCATCAGGTTTTACTCTCTGTCTGTAGCTGTAAAAACAACACAGAGCCCTGCACCATAAAACAAGTTCAACTTTGCTTTCATTTGCCTGGAAAAGCTTTATGATAAATCTGTTTGTCTCAGTTAACACAGGTTCACTCTGCAGCTCTCGACCTGTCTGAGTCTGCCGTAGTATTTTACCACAGGCTACATAAAGACTAAAAATTGAATTTGACACTCATGGGAAAAGATCTTCATCAGCCATAAGACATAAAAATGATATCTGAGCATCTTCAGTGATAAGAGTGAACTTCCTGTTGAGAAGCTGCTCTTTGTTATTGGTTTCGTGTAGTGTTTCATCAGTAATCACCTGGTTCAAGAAGTGCTGTGTTAACAAGATGGAAACGAAATGAAACGTTTTGATACTGTCGGGTACCAACCCAGCCAGTTGTTTGGTAACCACATCAGGTTGGATACAAAATGTTTTACATTATTAATTGAAGTTTTTTGCAGGTTACAAAAATGAAGCACTGTCAGATGGTTGCTGTCTTCTAAATAAGAATACTTCAATACTTCAATATTACATACTGATTGGATTTTTATACCTTGATTTATGCAAAAGTACTGACTGGCTACATTTCAACTTTTTTAACAGAATCAATTTATCGTCTATTTTACTCTAAATGGGATTTTCTTTTAGAAAATGTACATCAGGTCGTATCAGCGCTTATTTTGTCATATAAACAAATGAGGGCGAGAGCCAATCAGAGCTATGTTTGTTGGCTGTTTGGTAGCAGATTAACAGAGGATAGAATGAAGACAGACGCAAAATAATCTGGTCAAATTGTGAAATTGTTGAAATTGACCGTGCAGTAGAACAGATATAAGAACACAACAAGACAAACAACATGAGAAATTCAAAGCCATATCTGTAGACATGTCATCCTAAGATTTATCCCAAAGTAAACAGACCAAAGCATTAATACATGAGCAAATCTGACTAAGATGTCCATTACCTCCTGACACCCTTTAATTATTACCAAGTTAGGAGTTATACTTTAAATAACAGAATACTACATATACATTAGTAGGAGCTTCAACTACAGCGTCAGACCAGCTTCACCCAACGCAGGGCAGTAATTAAGTCTACGGCTGACAGGCTGACTGACACAGCTGTCAGAGGGATTGTGAGGAGACTTTGACCTGATGATAATTCATTTTTAAGTAATACCAAAACTATTAGAAATATGTAACAGTTCTATTGACTAAATTGTACTAAATTAAAATGCAATTCATTCAAAGGACTTGGACTAAATTCAAATTGGTTGTAAAAAACACTGAGAGGAGACTAGGTTTTGTCAGAGAACATTTATTTTGTCATTGTTTACTCACATATACCTTAGTATTTAGGAGAAACTGCAAAATTCTGTACTACGCCTTTCCTGTGAATGTGAGTATTTGAAGTTGCAGTGTATAATTTTTCCATCTGTCAGCTCTAAGCCATCTCAAAAGCAGTCACCCAGCACCAAAGGCAGGTGCAGTCCTAGTCATTATGTAAATGTATGCTAAGTGTTTTGTAGTTGTGTCCAAACAAATACACAAACACATCCTGAGAGGCAGCAGGGCTGTAGGAGTATGACACGTCAGAGCCCACTTTTTAAAGTGCATTTCAATTCACTGACTTCAAATCCCCAAAGCTGCTTATCAAGTACCTCTTCTCATGTTTTTCCAAGGGAATAAACAATGGAAAAGAGCTGCACAAAGCTGAAATAAACTGAGTGTCCCTCTAACGTCACAGTCACACTAACTGATGGACGCGTTGGTCCTCCAGGCTGAAGAGAAGTGGCTGTTATTACAACTGTCACAGACTTTTCACATGCACCCCCACATCAGCTCATCTGTGTCTGTGTGTGTTTCATAGTTAATGTGTTTGTGTGTAGGTGTGTGTGTGTCTAAGCCATGAGCCAGAAAGCGTCACTTTGACACTAAGCTGTTAAAACCACACAGGACCACACAGGGAGAAACACACAGCGTGTGTGTGGTGGAGGGAGGCTGTTGATATTATAACTGACATTCAGCCGCTCACATATGTAGACACGGAGGAAAAGGTAGTCCAATCAAGTGAGAATATCTCTTTAAAATGCTGATAAAATAATATCAATAACAATATTTAACTTTTTTTGATTTTGCTCCTACAGTATGTACAACAAATCTCCACAGGTTCTGGTCCAGATAGATAAATGATTTTGCATTTAAACTGTGGTCAGCCTCTGACTGACTGCTGTCTTTCTAACTTTCTATGATTCCTCTAATTTTTTTTTTTAGCTGAGGTATACAGTACACTCTTCACTCCCTAAAACACGATATTTAAACTCTGAAGCACAACTTTAGCTAAGGGGAACTTTGCAGAGGAGGGTTAGCTCAGCCAGGCCTCAGACAAATTATTAAATTAATCTTCAAAATTCTGGTTGTTTGACACATTATTATTATTATTATTATGTTTATTATGAAAACAGAATGATCTAAGGTTTGTCACTTTTATATATTTACATATACAAAACATATGTTGCACCAGTGCATTCAGTTCTGGACCTCAGAGTTAGAGTTACTTTTCTATTTGTTGTAGAATTTTCACATAGGTTTTTTTTAATCCACACAAGGTGCAGAATTTTGCGCTGATGTTACTCGGGTGTACTCGTGTACAGTATACTCAGGTGTACTCAGGTATACTGTCGTTGATTAGATGTTTTGCGTGTGTGTGCGACTTGACAATCAAGCTTTTCTGTGTCACATATCCTGTTACACATTCCAATTCATTCGTCTTTATGGTCTTTCACACTGTTGTGATTTTAACCTGATGAGAACACACCCAGTACTTAACCTGAATGAACACAGCCACGTGTATCACTTTGTGGTTTTACTCTGACTGTGAATTCCCCCAGATTTACACCAGGTGTAGACGATCCAGGATTATTTTTTCTGTTTTTGTTCCTGCTCTTTATTCTGGGGTCATAAAGGTCAACAGGACACACCACACTCCCCAGGTTTAGCAGGCATGTGCAGGTAAGAGAGATATATCCATAGTTGTGCCAGTTTGTAGGAAATCAGTTCATTATATGAAGAACTAAATACAGATGTATTTACAGTTACTGTTCCTTAGCAACCAAACATATCTTGAGGACAAACAACAACCTTCACTGGTGCAGATTGCACCTCATTGAATTGACAGCTGCAGCACTGTCGCAGCAAAGGCTCCATTTATAGAAAATCTCTCTGTAACATGTTGTTGTTTGGAAAACCTTTTGGGTCTTTGGTTGTTTTTGCTCAGGCAGTGACAAGGACACACTGTGTCATTTTTGAGCTGGATGCTGTGACCTTCATGCATTTGCTGCAATAGACAGGGAGAATATGCTCCCTGACATTGGTGTGTGTGTGTGTGTGTGTGTGTGTGTGTGTGTGTGTGTACACAAATCTTTCTCTGACAAACATTCATGCAGCTGATAATCAGTTGGACATGACGTGACATTCTCTCTGCAGTAGATTGGAATCAGGTAGAGTGGTGCAGTAATGCCTGTGGTGTTGTGCCTGTTATGTTTGACCTGGTAAAAGATCTAGTGAGACCAGGCACCATGATACTGACAGAGATTTATGAACAGTACAGTCAGATCCCTCAGGATCAAATATGTCAAACACGTAGACATCTTCACCGCTGTAGCCACGGTTCATAGAAGTCATTTTTGCATCAGTCAAGATGGAGACTGATTTACAACTTCAGTTGACTGTCTTAGGCCACGGGAATGTACAATGATGTGAACTCATCCTTTTATTTAGAAATCATGCTGGATCGAGGCCAAGAACTATGCTCTTTCTCTTTTAGGCTCATGTCTTAACAATAAGAGGTTTCATTATCAGCTGACCACAGTCCCCCCTCCCCCATCCCCCCGGCACGCATCCCCCCACAGAGGTCGTTTTAGAGCCAAACTCAGCTGGATGTCAGTGATGGCAATTGTGATGAAGTTGCTGCTATTTATGCGACAACTATAGCAAGGGAATGTAGAGCCGTGGGGGAGTGGTTCAGTAACCCACACGCTGTTCAGGACTGGGGTATTAAAGAGAGACTCTGGGGTGAGATGGGTGTTTCACATAGGTTTATTTTTAAGCCATTGTTGGCAGTCAGTGTCAGACTAGTCTGCATTCCTTTTGTTGCCAAGTTTTGTCCTTCAACACCTCAAAGGACAACACATGTCAGTCCATCTAACAGCTGTTTGTGAGGTGAGAGGTCACAGGAACGACAGCAGGGGGCAGCACCGTTGTTTCAAGTCAATCTTTGACTGTGGCTTAAGATGCACTGGCGGGTGCTTGAATGAGTTAAACATGCTAGTAGTAGAAGAAAAGGAACAAGAAGAAGAAGAATCACTTGACGCTGTCAAGTGTCTTGGTGTTGGCGGATTCAAACCAGGGACCTTCTGTATTCCCACTGTACTGTATTTTTTACCTCATACTGTAGGTCATGTATAGTCTCACCCAAACAGTTTTCATTTTGTATTATTTGACCAGCCACCCTGCAGCCTGTTAGCTTCTATAAAAAATGATTTCACGTCGTGAAAGAAAAAATCAGACACAGTCACCACGGGCTGTTTAACAGCTTCAGCCTCACAGGACTGGGAAAACGAAGAGTGATTTCCCTGGGTGGATTAATCTGCACAAAAAATGAGGACAGGCCTGTGTAGTCTACAGTCACTATCGCTGATACAGTCTGACAACATCTGATAAATATGATACCCTGTTTGGGTGCAGCCGATGAAATAGGACACAACCATTGTCTGGTTGAAACACTGTGACAGCCTTGGGAAAGCCTTAGGTGTGGATCCAAATAAGTTTGTCGATAGTGTAGTCACATACAGTAGCAGTTCATATAGAAATGTTTTAGTTGCAGCTTGTGTGATGTTGTTGTTGGAAGAAAAGATATATATATAAATATGTCAACATTTTTTAAATAATGTCAATACAGGAAATAAAAACATCAGAGGAGTCTGACTTACCCTTGGTAGCCATAACGAAGGACAAAAAGTTCCCAAAAAAACCAAAACAACATAAAGAACGTGAATGTAGCAGAATCCAACGTATGATGTACACCTGGCGAATGTAAACACGTGACACTGTAAACTAGTTGGCGAGGTGGAACGAGGCTATCTTAAGACATTTATGGAGGAACATAACCTCAAAACGCCGTAGGTCGAGGGTGTCTATGACGAACGCACGGTTTACAAATCTGTACATTTCATTGTACATGTAGAGCACATGTTAAACTGCTTTGTCCCTGTGTGTCTCTGTACAGATTGAGAACATTGATGTTTGCCTCAGTTTCCTGGCAGCCAAAGGAGTCAATATCCAGGGTCTGTCTGCTGAAGGTAAGATGGAAGTGAGACGAGAGAGCTAGAACCAGACTGAGGCTGAGGCTAGCTGCTGATTCCTACACATACAAATGCACTCATTTTGTCTTTGCTGTTTACCTTTATTCATTGTACTTTATTCACTCATTTCTTTTCTCTTTCTTTTCACCATCAGAGATCCGGAATGGTAATCTGAAAGCCATCTTAGGCCTCTTCTTTAGTTTGTCTCGCTACAAACAGCAGCAGCAGCACGCACAGCGTCAGCCCTCACTTCCATCCAACGCCCAGTCCAAGAGCTCACATCCTCCTCTGAGCCAGCAGTGCAGTGCCCCGGCTCAGCTCAGCCACTCTCCGCATGGGACTCCTGTCCTCACAGGCCAAAAAGCTGCACAGAGCGAGATGCAGTCCAGGTACAGTAAGAGCCGTGGTGTGGCCTACTTTTTTAAAATCTATCCCTCTTTAATTTTCTGGCTGTTCCTGCGGCTGTAATCCATCACGTTGTCATCTCCGTCTCCCTGTTCACACTTCCTGTCATTTATAACTGTAAACCTGAACTCTGTGTCTCTGTCCCCTCTTCCACGTCTCCCTTGTCTTTTCTTCTTCTCCAGGGATGGATCTCAGAATAAACTACTCAAGTTTTCCCTTGGTCAGAAAAAAACCTCTAGGTCAGCTTTATTCTGCATCATTTCTTCACACTTGCCCCCCCCCCCTCTCTCTTTTCCACCCCTCACCTCCCGTCACTTCCCCTCTCAGGATGTAGGGAAGTAGAAATTGCCCCAACTCATGGATAACATTTCTTTTGTTCCTAAATGCATTGCAGGTTGATTCCCTGTTTGTCATTAAGGGCAATCTCTACTCCAAGCACTATCTGATATGCATGAGTGGCTGTAAAGCAGTGGGCTCCAGTTTTTGGACAGCCACGTCTGTCTGGCACGGCGCCTCATTTAGCGAACTGTGCTAAATGGGCTGTGAAAGACCTTTAGATAACCTTTAAGCAAGCGTGTGTTCATGTGTGCCTGTGTGTGTGCGTGTGTGAGTCTGACAAGCACACTGTTCATTCAATACAGCATTAATAATTAACCACTGGAAGATCCTGTGGAGACCTGGGTCACTGTTTATCTGCATTCTCACCTAAAGTTGTAACCAAGCAGCCCCAGTCTCCCCAGTCCATTTCCGGTACACTCTGCATTTGCTCTGATGTTTTGAAATTCTCGTTGTGCTTTTATGACTTTGCCTTTTTTTTAAGCATGAAGTGACATTTTATGTGATGAAATCAGATTTAAGGGTTTGGATCTGCATGCTGCCCATCTGTGTTTTTACTGCACCTGCCACACACCAGCTGCTCGTCAAAGTAGTGCAAGGACACCACTTACTGGCCAACATTTGTAACTACCAGACAAAGGTCGTGGAGTTTGCTTTCTTCATTTTACCTGTAGTGACGTTTATGTCCATTTTCATTGGCCTTTTTGCCTTAGCCTTTTAATATACAGGCAAATCTAAAATTAGCACAGAATTACCTAAAAACTGCATCCAGTTATTATAGTTAAGTATATTTTAGAAAAGACCCAACATTCCTGTGTGTTTGTGACTATAAAATGTGAGAAAGTGAGTAAATGAGTTACTGCAGTTTCATAAAAATGGACATTTGTTGAAGTAAATTAAGTATAAATCTATTTCCATATTAAGACCCTGATTGGACGTATGGATGTCACATGGAAGGATGCAGTTGTTCAATGTTGTTTTCAGGGTTTGAATGGATTTTAATGATGCCATTTCCTCACTCTGAAAATGTTGTAATTCCTGTTCTTTTAGATCTGACTTTATTATTAAATACTGTTGACCACACTGCTCTTACCTGTCAGCCACAGCATTAGGCTGTGGTTAATGGTGTTGCGCTGAACTGATTTTGTTTGTGCCAGAATTCATTACGTGATGTTGTTGTTTTTAGGTCTCAGTAATGCAGAGATATTGGAAAAAGAGCAGAATGTGTCTTAAAGGAGAAGGACATTTGTGCTTATGCTTTTTTATTATCCTAAATATTATACAAGATCAGTGTAATTGAATAATAGTAATTATGTTGTTTGTCTCTTTCCTTGTTTTTCTTTGCTCATTCTTTCTTTTTTATTTTTTTTTCATCTCCTCTTTCCTTTCCTTTCTTTTCCCTTCCTTTCCTTCTCTCTTTTCGTCCCTGTCTCTCTTACATTCAGACTTCCTGGCCCAACCTCGAGGGTGTCCACTGCCGGCAGTGACATTCCTCCCAGAGGTCAGGTCAGTTCTTCTGGTAACAGACGCAGCCAGGGCTTCAGCGACAAGACCAAAGGCAACTTCCCCCTGAGCAAAGGTAGGACTGACAAGTGAACATGAGCACACTGATACTCAAGTGTTTGTTCTGTGTTAATAACCTTCGTCGGTACATCTGTGAGACTGACACGTCCTCTGGCAGCGCAAGGTTTTGAAGAACTAAGAAGAACTAAGGTCTGATGTATGATAAAATATAATATAAGTCTCTTTTCACTGTTTCCATGTTTGCTTTTTCATCTAAGATACAAACATAATTGCTTATTTTGTACTAACTAGTTTAACCTAAAAATGAATTTCTATCAAAGTTTCCATCTAAGTAAAAAAAATGACCTGTACCTGAAAAGGTTCTGCATCATAGTGAATGTTAGCAGTGTCTATTTTGGACCAGTGTTGAGTTGAGCACTGTCACCTCCATCTCCCTCGAGCCACATCATTGTGTTAGTGTTTATGACCTAAACTCCTGGCCTACATTTGGACAGAGAACACACAGGGTTTGGATGTCAAGGACAGTAAATCCTAAATCGTAAAAATACTCTTTTTTCCCACAAAGAGTCGTTCATTGTGCTTTGTTTCCCAAACTGGACTCAAATACATAGTTGACATTCTAAAAAAAAATACTCCCCCCAGCCCCCCCGTGCTGCCCTTTGTTGTTGCACTGAGTCAGATGATCAGCTTCATCAGTGGATGACAGATGAATAAGGCACTAAGACTTGGCGTCGTTTTACTCAACTCATCAGAGTTTAACCTGGAGGTAGAGAGTTCTAACTGGCTGGAGGTACTGAACATGAGGATTCATCAACAGGTTCTGAACAAATGAAAAAAAAAAAAGATTGAAAATAGAAAAAATAGAAATAGATTTCTGTTGGATGTGTTTGGCACCAGGTCACGACCTGCTTCACTGCCTCATCGGGACAGACATCAAACGTTTTACTTAATACATTTTTATGCCATTGAATACAATGATTATTTTCTGGCCAAACTCGTGCATAAACATTAATATTTTCTTTTGGTTTGCTCAGAGTTAACACGTGGCAGATATTGTTCCCACAGTGAAACTTCTGTTCTCTTTATCTTCGGACCTACAGTATCTGTTTGTAAGCAGTAGGTCAAATGACTGACAGCAGGTAGGGTGAGAATCAGTATTCGACCCCCTCCTCCTCCTCTTCCTCCTCCTTCTCCTCCTTTTAGCCCTGTTGTTGACATAAAGCCAAGCCCCTCCCCATGGCCTTAGCTCTGAACCACAACTCCTCCACTCTCTAAACGGTTGGACATGGTTGAAGACTCTTATCTTCACTGCAGTCCGTCTTCTTTCCTGCACTTTTATGTCTGTGATCTGGACGTCCGCAGCATCCGTCAGGTCTGTCAACTTGCACTTTTACATGACCTCACGCTGAAGTTGTAGGTCACGGTGTCAGGGCAGGACCTTAGGGTGTATGGTGGGGGTACATGGATGGATGTAGGGAGGTTTTATGCTGTTTAAATCAGGCTCTGTGGAGATAAATGCCCCGGACTTTACTTTTAGACTCACTATGTTTGCATCACCGCTGTTGCAGCAGGATGAAATGAATCACCTGCAGCTTCTATTGTCAGATGAGATCTGCTGTGTGTCAATGGCTCTGGCAGTCGAATAGAATACAGAGGGATCGGAGCAGCACAGTCAGAAAACACACATGAATCTGTTCCTCCTGGTTTTGTTAACATGAGGTGACAGCGTCTGGGTGTCCACAGGGTGACACAGCACAGAGAGATGCAGCAGGCAGCCTAATTCTGTCTCCCACTGTGAGTGTGTGAGTGTGTGTGTGAACTGTGTTCCCACTGAATGAATGGATTTTTCTGATGAGCTGCAGCATCACTGTTTGAGAGTATTCATGTGGAGAAACTTTGAAAAGTTTTCGCCACTACACAAAAGCTCCCTGTCCCTCTCATTTTTTCTAGGCCACAGTGACTGAGAAGAGAGTGAGAAAAGAGAGGGATGGAATACTGAGAGCAGAATTTGGTCAGACTAACTCACCACCAGATAATTTAATAATTTCTGTGAAATTAAATTTGTGACTCCTGCAAATCAAATTAGTGAACGGCAGATAATTCCTGTCATGCAGCTCACTCGCTTTTCCACACACTGCAGTCGCAAACAATTTTTAATGTCAGAGATCTGGTCACTGACATGTGAAGATTGTTTAGTTTTGTCTTGTGACTGTTGAAATCTTCAGTGGCGTTGGCTAACTTGTGATGTCTAAACAGCGTCAGCCGACAAGAACCTTAATACATTTACTGCTTGTTTTTCTCTCTCTGTGTGTGTGTGTGTGTGTGTGTTAGTGGACAGTTGCTCTGCTCCTGTGTAAAGGGTTTTCCAGACTTTGAAGTTGTGAAACAGATGCCCCTCTTTCTGCTGAATTGGACATGCATGCTGAAACTTGCACTTACAGACAAGAAGCTGCAGAAGTTTTTTTTTTTTTTTTTACTAATAGGAAGGTTTTCCTTGGTGGCAGACGAGTCGCACCATTAGACAAACTTCTCTCCAGGGCAGAAACTCTGCTACTTTATTTCATAACGTACTTCCCTTTTCCTTCCTGTTAAGTGTAGCATTTATGCAGAACAACAAGATGCAATAAAAGCACAACTTCTGCCTTGAGCAACTTTCCATGGAAGTTCTTCAGACAGCTGGGTGGTCTGTGATTCTGTTTCCCTTCAGGCTTTCCTCAACTGTCATTTTCCGCACTTTATTTGAATGTCTAATGACTGCACCAATTAGGCAGTTTAGTAAAATAGCAAAATGTATCCAACATGTTTTCTTCAGCAGACAGCTTTACCAACATCATGAATGAAGAGCAATTAGGAGTTTATTTCGAGCCCTAGGCGGCACCAGGTCATTAACTCTTTGACCCACGCTCAGGGTGGATTAGGGCGCATATTTTTTTGTTGTTGTTTAATGATTAAGTAATTTGTCTACAGGGTTTTTATCCACTTACTGCTGTGATCATTGTAATTAACTCTGTCTGGAAAGTGCTTCCTCATGCTAGCCCAACTTTTACAGCCTTTTACAAATTGAAAACGTGACTCCATCTGGTGGGCATTTGAGGAAATGTACAAATGCAAGTGTCTAGAATTTCATTTGCCTCAGGTTTGCTTGTATTGGACCTTGTCATTTCACAAAATGCAACAGCTCCAAAATCTGTCCCGCAGACAGACCCAGGTAGTTTAGTAGTTAAATATTAACTACTTCCTTCTGTCTAACCAGCCTTAATTGAGCCCTACCTGTCAGTGTAGGTCTCTGTCCAGAAAAGACAACAGTCAGCAGTGTCCACACACCTTGAATGTCGTGGCCTTCCTGACCTGAGTTCCACATTAACTGCATTCATGGATGTTTTGGTGTTCATCAGAACGTCACTCAGCCCAAACGTCCTGTGTCAGACCTCCTATTCTGTCCATCTGCTTCACAATCAAAGCAGGGCCCCATTTTTTTCAGCTGCCACCGACTGGAATCTGGCTGTTTGCGACTTGACCCACATTTGCTGTTGCTAAATGCTAGCACAACTAATTAGACCTTAATCACTTCCTAATGGCTGTGTTTTTCAGAGTGCTCTCATTAAATGTAGTCCTGAAGGGGGAAATGCATCTTTAAAAATTTTATAAAATTATAATAGAGAGCATTAAGCCATGTGAGCCCCTGGTACAGGGGTTACATTTACAAATAGACCATTGGCATGAGCTAAATATAAAGAGCTAAATACATTTATTTTCTGTATAAGTATTTTAGAAACGTTTTTGCAGTTGTTAGCTTTTAAAACTCTAGAACTCTTTGAAAGCTAATGTCAAAACATGACATTCTCTATACTTTGACTACAGTACTGCCCCCTACTGGGTATATTCTCCACTTATAGTTATATCCCCCTAATACTGTTTAGATATGTCCAGACAACGTGCAAAAGAAACGTATTTCAATATAATTCTGCGGCTCATTTTCAATAAGAATAATCTATATTGAAATGTAAAGTATATAAATAAACAGACATGTGGTTTAGCTTTTTTCTTATGTCCTTAGAGCTAGTTGGATACTGCTAGGGATATTATGAGGAACTACAAAATAAAAATGATTCAAGAGGAAAGAGAAAACATTTACTGAGATAAATGTATTCAGAGAAATGTCAAATGAAAAACTAACTAGAGAAATCGACCCATACTGTTCATTTTAAAGTAAAATAAAATACTGTGAAAAGAAAAACAGTAGTTGCAGGTTAATGGGAGACCAACCCAGGAGTAGTAACAGCAATGAATAACTTTCTGTGTGTGTGTGTGTAATTTATCCCACCACGTGCTCCTCCTCCCTCACCGGCCGTTAATGTTTGAATATTCAAATAACACTGGTGCATGTGTGAAGTGCTCTGAGCAGCATTTAGAATCCTGGTCTGTCAGTCTCTGGTAAGTTCTTCTTAAGACACTTCTCCAAATATGCTTGTTTAATATACTTTCTTTTTTTAAAAAAAACCAGAAAACTCTGTAGTCATTGAACTAACTCAGTTAATATTAACTCAGAGCTTAGTGAAGAACTGAGTTCTTGTGAGCACATGTAAACATTTGGTTTTTCTAGGACTAACGGCTGTCTGTACAAGTCCATGCCTTATAAGTGCAGCCGCTCTGCTTTGACTTGACCTGTTTGGCAAGACTTAAAGGCACTGCAGTCTGCTCCACTCTGTTTTTATAAACAGCCTCTAATTGCTCCTTCTCGTTGTTAGTTTTTAACAGTTCTGGTGGCCAGCCCTCTCTAAGGTACAGCCATGTCTGGCTGTATCAACAGAGGCCACCTTTATTCCCTTATAAGGTGACTTGGTGTGGGGTAAAACAAGACTTTGTTCTTCACCGTCTGCTTGTTCTTCTCTCTCTCCTTTGTTTCTGGTCAGATATGCCATTGAAGCTCAATGTTTATTTAAAATGTCTTTCTCCTGTGCAGATTCGCCAGAGGGCATGACCTCACAACATTCGGTAATGACTGATCATGCTCTGTCATCTGTGGTGACCTCCACCTCCTCCACCAGCATCTCCGCTGCTACCTCTGCCCAGAATCCTCCCTCATCTTCCTCCTCCTCTTCATCCACCTCTTGCACAGCCATTCCACAGCCAAACGGCAACAGCAAGCCGTGGCGGAGCAAGTCCATGAGCTCCAAACAAGCCTCAGCAGCTTCGACTTCATCCACCAGCGGCCCGGCCCCGGCCATGCAGCCCATCAAGCAGGAGAGAGAAAACTCCAGTAAAGCTGCAGCAGCTGAAGCTCCTCCTAAGGCTGTCCCTCCGAAATCAATGCTGGAGAAGCTAAAGCTCTTCAACAGTAAAGGTGCCTCAAAATCCTCCGCCACTGGAGCCGGACCCCAGACTGAGAACCCTGCACCAGCCAGGCAGGTTGGAGTGGGGCAGGTGGAGAAGGTGGAGACTGCCTCCAACACAGACTGCCTGGAAGATGACGATGGTAACGTCAGACCAGGAATGAATGGGACCAGTAATGGAGCGACACCTACAGCAGGTACTGCAGTTCCCACCACTGCCAGCAGTCCCAAAATTGCCCTGAGGGGCATTGCCCAGCGCACTTTCAGCAGAGCGTTGACTGCCAAGAAGAGCTCTGTCAAAGGCCAAGAAAAAGACAAAGACAAGGGCAAGGAGAAGGAGAAAGAGAAGGAGAAGGAGAAGGGGAAGGAAGTTGGGAAACGTACCTCAGTTCCTGACAGGACAGAGCTGAGGGTGGAGGACTCGAAGGAGGAAACATCACCAACTTCTGTAGACTCGGACAGCTCCATCAAGAAGGCCTCAAAAATTACCAGCTTTATTCCTAAGGGAAGTAAAGCGGCCAAAAAGGAGAATTCCACTCCGGCCCAGAGCGGAATACCAAAGCCTGGAAGCAAAGCCCCAGGAGCCGGGAGTAAGACTTCCTCTGTGAAGGAGGCGGGGGAAAGGCCTCGGAGCATGAGGTTAGGAGGAGGCCTGGTCATGCACCGCAGCCCCCTGGACAGGGACAGGGACAGGGACAGCAGACACTCCAGCTCCACTTCCAGCCTGGCCTCCACTGAGGGCAACAAGGTCAACGCTGCCCCTGCAGGAGGAAGCACAACACAGAGCACAGCCAGCAACACAGTCAGTGTGCAGCTACCTCAGACTCAACAGCACCACAGTCACCCCAACATGGCCACCGTGGCACCTTTCATGTACAGGTGGGTTGATACAGCAGTGCTACAGTGTGAGATAAAGCAGCATAAATAATAATTCAGAAAAAATCTAAACAAATGTTGAATTCTTATTGGATTTATTTACTGTAAAAAGAAAACAAATGTCTGTTGCCTAACCTAACCTGACCTGACCATTTGCCAGCGGCCCCTACTGTGGGCGTCTCTGATCTAGAAATAAAGGATATGACTACAGGCATCTGTGAAGTGTTAACTAGTAACACAGCACATCTGTGTTGAGTTTGAGTCTTAGTGTCGTATGTGCCTGAGCTCCGTGGCAGCAGTGTGCCTCTGACCTCTGTCCTGGTCCCAGTGTGATAAGGAAGGAGATTATTTTCCCTCTCCATGAGTCTTTTCTAACAAGCCCCTCATTAGTCCCCTCTAACTTCCTCCGTCGCGGCCCTTTCCCCTTCTGCACATTCTACACCTGGTACTCCCACTCACCTGACACACCGCTGGTCCTCAGTCGTTAGAAACGCCTGTTAAGTAACATAACAGCAACAGTGGGATTATTCCAAGAGTCACTGTGAGACAATTACTGACCCACCTTTAATGTGTACACTAGTCAACAAGGCCAAAGTCTGGGGCCGAGCACTGAGTGTCAGTTGTGTTTCAGTGCTTTCAAATGTGTTTCAACTCTCAGGTCTACTATTTACTGCAGACCCTGAACTGTATTGATTTTTTTTTCTTCAAACATAAACTAAACTGGCATTTGGGGCTCAGCAGGCTTTAGTTTGGACCTCGGTCACCAGATATAAACCACAGACGATTTAACTGGCAATCAGGATTTATTCCTTTGGCCTGGCATTTTAATGAACGCCAGTGTTTTCAACATGTTAAACACTATTTTCCCAGGTCACAAACGGAGAGTGAGGGGATTATGAACATTGAGAGCAGCTCAGGGGGAAGAGGTGGAGACGTTTCCTACAACAAGACCAGCCAGCCTTCAATCGAGGACCTTTCAGGTGGGCAGTTGCTTGGACACGACTCGTTTCTGTGTTCACTGCAGTCTGAAGACTTTCTGAAGTCGTTCTGTTATCGTTACTTCCAGGTGAAGACCCGGAGACGAGGCGTTTGAGAACAGTGAAAAACATCGCAGATCTGCGGCAAAACCTGGAGGAGACCATGTCGAGCCTGCGAGGGACTCAGGTCACACACAGGTCAGAACAAAGAAGAAGAAATGAATATATTAAAATACAACACAAAGAAACAAATAACAGAATGTAACATGGAAAAATATGCAATATATTTGTATATTTATACAAAACAGACTTTTAACCTCAGATTTGGCTTTGTGCACTAACCCTGACCCAGTCCCTCGAGGGTTTAAAAAGACTAATGTCCTCTTTCTATAAAGACTATATTTTATATGTTGCTGCATTATAGTTCTCTTTTCTTTACCATGTAATATGACTGGTGGAATGTAAGTCAAAAGTATTTCCACAAAAAGTAGTATTACATGCCCATTAGACATTTTTATTAATCCCCATCTTCTCTTCAGTTCATAGACCAGTGTTGACACATTCACATTAAAATACTTAAGGATTTTCAGAAGAAGAAAAGTATTTGTCTTAGTTCTACTTTTTGATGCTTTTTCTTTATAATCATGTGAGCACAAACTGATTCCTGTGTGAAAATTCAGACCTAGTGTTTCATGCTCCTTTTATACAGCAGTTTTTTAGCCTTGTTAACGTATATATTCAGAATTACTCCCAATATTATGAAGACATTTCCTTGTCTTCTCAGTGAAATGTCTGATTAAAACAGTTTTGACTTTGAGGGTTTGTAGATTTAACTTCTTCTAACTTTTTGTATCTCCATGATCAGCACCCTGGAGACCACATTTGACAGCAGCATCACAACTGACATCAGCAATAATGGCAGCGGTGGAGGTGCTGGCAGCAACAACAACAACGCGGGAAGAAGCATCCTCAGCATCACTTCCTCCCGTCCGTCACTGTCGTCGTGGCGACTCGGCCACTCCAGCCCTCGTCTGCAGGCGGGTGACGCTCCGTCCTTGGGGAATGGCTACAGTGGGCGGGGCGTGGGCAGCCAGCCGGGACGTTACCTGTACCCTGGGCACCTTCGACGACAGCTGGCCGGCAGAGGTGGAGCTCTGGACCTTGGAGAGAGGGGTGGAGAGGACATTGACCTGGAGGGCATTGCCATGGAGGTCACCGGGTACATGAGTGATGGAGATGTGTTGAGCAAGAACGCTGCACGTACTGATGATGTCACTAGCGGGTAAGTGGACGGGCAACTGTCCGGAAAATATTTTCCTCCTTTAATTTAGACATTTACTTCAGCTCTAAGAAGTTGCCACAAATATTTACAGTTTCTGGATCAGCACCTTCATGTGATTTGTGATTCCATGCTGCTCCTTTTATAGCTGCTTTACATTTACAAATGTAAATAAATGAATACACATTTTAAATCAGAAAAAGGCAGAATAATAATCTTCTTTAGAATCCATTTTCAGAAAACGAAAAAAGAAAAGTAACCACGGTTGTTTTGTAGTACAAACTGCTTTATACATGGAATAACACTGCAATGAGAAAAAGTCACTTCAAAATGATTGGCTGACAAAACCAGCAGGGGGCGGTAGTGTTCCTTTCTCACATCTTTCTTAGAGCCGTTTTTATTTTGTGTAGATCCCACAAGTATCTGATCTCTCTCGACTGTCTGCAGGTGCTGAGCTGTTGATAAGATTAGAACTTGTTAATTTGTTCTCCCAAAGCCATGTCCATGTCCAAACAGGCCCCCTGCATACTTCGACTATCACAATGTGCAATTTAAACTCCTCTCTTCATGATTATTATCAGACGAAGCCGTAGTCGGCACCAACTTGCCCTCACAGGGCATCAAAGCCCCAGAGACGGAGGCAGAAGGATCTGCTTCAAGATAAAAGCAAATGTAGAGCAGGTCCTCTGTGGTCAGCAAAGAAAGATGATAAACTGATAAACAGGCCTCTCTCTGTCCCCGTCTCTCTCTCTCTCTCTCTCTCTCTGCCTGTACGTCTGTGAAGTGAGAATTACTTCCTCTGATGTTTTGTACTGGTTCACTGGCCCAGAGGCAGCCGTTCAGGTCAAGGGAGCTAAGTGTTCTTCAAGTAGTGATTGTGTGAGTGAACAGACAAAAGACCAGACCACAGCCACACCTGGACAGGTGAATGACACGT